GCTGAATGGGTCTGAAGAGTGATCTGATTCCAAATGCCCTGGATTGCTTCTCAAAAGGACATCCCTTCCCTGGGTTTGCAGACATCATGGAAGAGTCATCGTGTCCCTGACCAGAAGACTTACTGTTAACTCTGGCAGGATTAACACCATGATTTACCACACAGCTGAGGAAACACTAGAAAACTGGGAATAGAGCAGAGAAGTCCAACTCCATAGAGACTGAAAACAGCAGAGAAAGAGCCAAACTGTTTGTTTTAATGTCTGAAAACATCTTTCTCTTGTGTAGCTCATTAATGCAGAGTCCCCTCTCCTTCTCTAATGCTTATGAAAAAAGAGCAAGATAAATAATTGTTTGGATTAAATCTTGGCTCTCAAAAAATGCCATGTATAGCAGGAATAAGCATGCTATCTTTCCTTCTACCCCAAAACACACATTAGTCTTCAAAACATGGATGAGCCAGACTTTAATCAGGATGTGGTTACTTTATTTCTGTTGGGTAATCTGGAAACCTTTTCTCTAAAACAGAATTAAGAGAGGAAGATACCCAATGTTTGGCTCTAGGTAGCACTGGAAGGAGAGTGGATGCGACTCGTAAATCAGCACATTTCACCATCTGAGTCATGCACCTCTGATGCCTCTGAAGGTTTGTTACAAGCATGTTGCCACGAGGACTTCAGAAAAAGGTTCAGGCCCAATGAATAAGGCAGGCAGAGCTGCTTGCTCCAACTACCTCATGCCCTAAATTCTAACCTGTTACTTAATGTTTGCCCAGAAGAGATTCCCCAGGTTAGATTTCCAGTGGATCCTTTCACCCTAGCGTTCCTTCTCTCTCTGGACGCAAACCTGAACTCTAGTCCATTCTGCAGGTAGCTCCTCTTTCCGCCAGGCAAATCATATCAAAGCTGCTCCAGGATCCTGTTTCCATTGCAGCTACTCTCTCCTCTCTCAGCTGACACTATGCCAAAGAACAGAAACTAAAAACTCAAGGGCACAGTGCAATGCATTGTTGAACGTGATGCAGGCTGAGCAGCAAACAGATGGTCAGCAAAACCACGAGAACCAAATGGGAGGGAGCCTAATAAATGATTAACAGCTCAGGTCAGCTGCACTTTGTAGGGGTCTCAAAGCTCTCTGCTTTGTTAGCTTCCAACGAGTTGCCGTGTCCTACCCTGATCTGCAGGTGTACCCAGGGTTCACCTGCAGCAATGCAAAGCGCTCTCATCAGCAGTGCAAAGTCACCATGGCAATCGGGGGGCAAGAATGTCTCTCATGCCCTCCACCAGACTGCCACTCCCAGAATTCACTCACTCCTCTCAAAATCCAGGAAGAGAGAGGTGTGGGACTGAGGGGCACACTGGGGGCTTGCTAATCATTCAAGTGTCAGATGGTCTATTTGGGTCTCACTCTTACCCGAGGACAAACTTCTTAGGGCACCTAACACACTGGGCTGTTAAAGCACCAGCTGCAAGTGCCAGGGACTCTCCCAATTTCAGCTGCTTGAGAGCAGCAGGCTGAGGAGCTCCCCTGGCCCCAGAGCAGGGTCTCAGCCCACCACGTACCGTTCCCACCAGGGGGTACAGGAACCCAGCGCCGACGCTGGCACGAATGTCTCGGATCGGCAGGATGAAACCTGTGGGTGCTCCTTTTTGTTCAGGGTCGTGAGACAATGATAAGTGAGTTTTAGCCATGCAGATTGGCAGGTTTCCAAATCCCTGGGAAAGGAGAAAGGAGAGAATCAGTGGAAAACCTAGTACCTTTTCTTGTACAAAGGGGTAAATGGCTCTGTTCTCCCACTCTCTGTGGACATTAGATATTTTATCATGACATTTTACTCCTCAACAACTGCTTCATCCACAACCTGTCAGATCCACTGACCATTCTGGATCCTCATTACTTCTGCCTCAGACTCTCCCTGTCCCCCACTAAGTACTCTAGAAAGGACCACATGGCCCCCAGCACACCCAGCTGAGGAAAAAATTAATGGCATAGAAGTGTTAGACAGCCCTGACAGCCAGCTTGCTTCTACTCTCTTCGCAAGATGTTAATCAGCTCAGAGCTAGTTTTGTTCAGCCGAGGTCAGTTAATTAGAAATGTCTGATCAATGCAATTGCAGATTGTGGGAAGTGGCAATTAAATGCTTATGGGATTTTAATGGATTTGTAAAAGAATATACAAGAAGCACAAAAGCAAGAAACTATACCAGTAGTAAGTGAAGTGCAAAAGCAAAGTTATTTGAGCACCCTGTGACCACCAAATGGCCAGTCCTCACGTTGCTGTTCTCTTCCAAGACCTTCCTGAATGCAGAAGCAGGTAAATTCACAAGAATGTCATGCTAGAGAAGAGCAAAAGCAACACAGCAACCAGAAAGCATCTAATGCAACAGCCAGGTGCCAGGTTAAAAGCTTTAAGTGGATATTTTTCCCACAAGAAGTCTGGTGACATCTGTGAAACTCTTTCTCCAACATAATCGTGATTGCCAAAAAAATGCATCTGGATTCAAAAACTGATCAGTGGAACTTGATCTCAGTGGAACAAGATGTAAAAAAAATAAATTAATCAGAGACTGTTTAACACCAGTGTGACCATTTGTAGCTCCCTAATTCTCTGCTGAAGGATTGGAGAGCACAGTTTACCCTTCCTGCCCTTCTCTCGCCAAACACCATCACAGGTGTGGTACTGGGCCAGATGAGCAAGCACTATCTTCACTAGGAGACAGTCAGGTCCTCCCTCCCCACATCCACTTACTCCTCTGCCATAGCATTTCCTGAGTCCTGGACAGGATGATGACTCCCTTCACACACAGCTCGAACACCACTGCTCAACATGATCACTTTAAATGAAAAGCACCACTGCTATCAGTGGAAAACTCACTTGCTTAGTGTACAGGGCGACTTTCTCCTGTGCTTCTGGAAGCAGCTCAATGTCTCTCGCCCCGTAGATCTGCTGGGCAATAAGCCTGATCTTATCTACAAGAGGGAGCTAGAAAGAAGAAGACAGGCAAATCAGTGTGGCCAAACTACAAAGATCTGTAGCGACACAGAAGCTTCACACTCCTCACACACGTCGTGCAGTGCCCATCTGTAGACACAAGACCTATTCCCATTTGCTGTAGAACAAAGCTATATAGTAATTTGAGGGTTTTCAAAACACATTTCAGTATTTCGCTGGTTAGTCAAACAACAAGAACTGAGTAACTAGGTCTTTGAGACTGGTGGAATAAATATTATGGTTCTAAGCCCGGATCTCTTCTGGGTTTCTCAAGCAGCCTTTCAGACTGCCCTCAGCCACTAAAGCCAGTGAAAGCGGCCAATCTCCCCCTACGCACAGAGCCGCTCTAACACCGCAAGTTCCTACCTCCACGTTGTAGAGGAACCTGAAGTTGCTGGGTGTCTGTGATGCTCTCTGAACAGCCTGGGCCAGTGCCAGCGCTCCCTTCCCTCCCTCTGCCCAGTGAGTGCACTCCACAGCATCGAATGCTCCTGCCTGCTTTGCCTGCTGCACTACAAGGGCCAGCTCAGCCTTGGTATCTGTTCTGTAAGGAGAAAAGTTTCCATGTTTGTACCAGAATGCACACACAGTAAGTTAACTGTTTGTTCCTGATGAGATCCAAACCCTGTACAAAGAAACCACAGCCATCAGGAAGCATCTGCCACATCTGGCCAGAGTAATTTGGCTAGTCAGGGTGTAAGTGCTGGCACACACTAGTCATAAAATCCTGAGCTAATTCAAACTAAGGAATGCATCTGAAACGACCAAGCAGAGCTCCCCTGTTTATTCAGCCCCTTGCAACAATGCAAAACTTCAGCCTTCCAGTACCTGAGGGAGCCTACAAAAAAGCTGGAGAGGAACTGTTTACAAGAGCCTGGAATGACAGTGGCTTCACACTGAAAGACAGCAGGTTTAGATTAGAGAGCAAGGAAAAAATCTTTAGTGTGAGGGTGGTGAGGCACTGGAAGAGGTTGCCCCAAGGAGCTGTTGATGCTCCATCCCTGGAAGTGTTCAAGGGCAGGTTGGATAAGGGCTCTGAGCAATCTAGTCTGGTGGAAGGTGTCCCTGCCCGTGGCAGGAGGTGGAACTGGATGACCTTTAGGGTCCCCTTCCAACCCAGGCCATCCTATGGTTCTACGATTCTATGAAAATGCTGCAAACAATCCATCACCAGCACTGAAAACAGGAGTTTGTATTAAACATAACATACAAAGTGCCACAATTCTATGCCCATGCATCACCTCCAGGTCCCAGCTCACTTACTTGAAAGCATTGACAGCCACTACGACTGGGACACCAAACATGTGCGCGTTTTGGATCTGCTTGTTCAGGTTACTGCAGCCTTTTGCCAGCAGCTGAAGGTTCTGTGAAGGAGACAGCAAGGAGAGCATGCTTTATCAGGGGCAGTGGAACCCCTGCTCCAAATGCACTATGTCCACAGCTAATGGTACAACTGACAAAATGGGAACAAAACCACTAAGGCAAAGCCCTGGTGCTGCTTTCCAGATGGTCCAGACCACTGCATGCCCTTGGATACAGGATAAATGACTACTCCTAATGATCACTGATTCCAGCTGTTGCCAATGTAGGAGAAACCACTATTTATCGCTTTCTGTAATGCTTAGGAAGCTAATGCCTGTCCTCATTAACTCCCCACAGCAAAGCCTCAGTTTCCTCTCTGACACATTCCTCTATGTATTAAAGATCACCAGCATTGAATTTCATGACACCTGTTTGAAGACTGTGGCAACAGCTTTCAGCTTACATATATTTACATTTTGCAGCATCAGAGACTATTCCTAGAGATTCAGACGTTTCATCCCTTCCCGTGCAAAGAATAACTGTTCAGAAGCTTCAGAGGTGAGAGAGCTGCAGCAGTGTAAAGAGAGCCAGACCAATTATCCAACTGTACTCAACCATTCAAGGCCAAGGATGGAAGGTGAGACTTTAGTTCGCTTTCCTCTCTTGCTTGCAAAGGAGAGGGGATAAAAACTAAAACTGCTGCTAAGAAGAGAGTAATTAGAGAGGCACTCTGAATGTTTCCAGAGAATGTTTCAGCCAGGCAGTTACTCCACACTAAGAGGGTTGGGGACACAGAGTAGATATCACCATGAAAAATTGAGCACACACACAATTGTCTGAGTTAAGAAACACAAAGGCTCTGAACACTGGCTAGGTCAAGTACAATAAATGCTCTGAAGAGCAGAGCCGAAGTAACATCATTAAAAAAAGAACATTGCATGAGGAAGCATTTCCCCGGCAGCTAAACAAGTGACACACTAGTAATTCAGGCATGTACTGCATGACATCATCATGTCATGACCACAGTTAGCTGGTGAACTGTCACAACAGCTTAAGATTACCTCTTCTGTGTATTCCTTCGGTAAAGGTACCCCAGCAGTGACCTGGGGAGAGAAGGAAAAAAATGGAGCTCCATAAGATTTTCATCCATGGCAGCAATCCGTGCTTGGTTCTTATTAAACTGTATCAAGATACAACACTCTACTCCATGCTGATACCCTTTTGGGTAAAGAAAAAGGAAGAACAAAAGGCTGCAGGATGCACTCATGATAAAATAAATGACTGACTTTGGGACTATCACAAGTGCCCCAGCACACAGGCACTTCATTAGGGCAATGAAACAAGCAGGTTTGAGCCTGGAACATAGTACAGTGAAGGCACTGCAAAGTGACAGGGACATATCAATTCCTTTTACCGCTGCAAACCTCCAGACAGCTTCAAGCAGATCAAAGTCTATGGGGATTTAAGTGACTGGAACAGCCCGAGGCCTGTGGAAAGCCTTGCCCAGCACTCACTGTAGGTCCTCCCCCGTGCATCTTCAGAGCTCGGACAGTAGCCACCAACACCACCACGTGGGGCCGGAGACCAGAGTAGCGGCACTTAATGTTAAAGAACTTCTCCATGCCTATGTCTGCTCCAAATCCTGCTTCTGTAACTGGAGTGGCAAACAAAAGAAAATCAGCCTGTGAAAGGTTGCTGGGTGGAGAAATCATGCTCTGATTATATAAATCAGAAGCTTCTTCCAAGACAAAAAAAGCCCAAAGACAGTCACAATATAAAAAGGCAGATCCTCCCTGAAAAACAAACATAAAGCAAACAAAAAACTCCAAGCTCCACACACTTACCAACGAAACCGTCTTTGCCCACAAGCTTGAGTGCTATTTTATCGGCCAACACGGAAGAATTCCCGTGTGCAATGTTGGCAAAGGGTCCAGCATGAACAAACACTGGTGTTCCCTAGAAGGTGCATGTGGAAGAGAGGAAAAAAATCAGAGAGTACGATTTTGCACAAATGCAGCATTTCTGGAGCCAAGTACTGTGGCACCTGAAGGCAAAGAAAACCACTTTTAGAAAACAGATCTTAATACTTCTGATCAGACATGTGTTATCAGCAATAAGGACTACAGGGCAAACAGGATTATAATAATCTGCACAAGTGGAGGTATTAATCCGCTTAGGAGAGGGATAGCTAAATCCCACCAACTCTGTCATTCCCCTTCAGCCACACCATTTTAATTCCCAAAATGCTTCCTGACATTAAAGACAACAGAACAAAGACACAGCAAAGTTTAGAGTGTTTCCTCAGGGTCATCCCCCATGCCAGTGACAGAGCTAGAAGGAAGTCAGCCTTCTCCTCCAGCCCCAAGCCTTGAGCACGAAGCCTCAGTAAACCTTCAGCTCCAAGAGCAGGCCCATGCTGATTGTGATGAATAAACTAAACCAGTTGCTTCTTGGCTCTGAGAATGCACTTATAGCAAATCATCTGTGCTCACCTCTAGAGTCTGCATGAGGTTTGGTTTAACAGCATCTTTCATCAAGACAGCCACAGCTCCAGTCACTCCCTGAAAGAAAAAAGGACAATCAGTTTCCAGATGTACCGAGACCTTGGCAAGGTTCCCAAGCAGCATCAAGGTTCTGCTTTTGTCCTGCTGAGCTGCTGAGATCAGAACCAGCAGCTGCTCTAGAAAGAACTAACTCTAGTCAGGGCAAGGCAGAAGAATGACCTTTACATTCCTGTAAGAGGCTCTGTGGTTTCTGCTGGGGCAGCAAGGCTGTGACCTTGCTGGGCCATCGCTTTGCAGCAAAGGCATAAAGAACAAGAAGCTGATGGTGCAATGCTATGGCAAGGTTAGCAAATCAGGTAGGTATGGTTCACTGTAGCCCATTCAGTGGCATGAAGCAATGTTCTTAGATTTTGCAGGTAGATTTGTCTTGGACTTTTTTTCTTCTTCATTTTAGCAACTAGGCTCTATGTACTGGCCTTAAAATGTCATAACAAGCTGCTACATCCTGCTCAAGTCTCTTGCACAGAAATAACTTTTAAAGTGAACCTCTGTGCTCACGAGAACCAGACTGACATGAAAGACAAACCCTGGAGCCCATGTTTCCTCCCTGGTGCAGCCATGTACCCTGCTGAATTCCACACAGAGAAAGCTTCTGATTCCATCACCATACGCTTTGGGAAGAGAAAAAAAAAAGGTTTGGTCATCTTTGTGACTGACACAGTCCAGTGGAAACCAAACCAGCTGTTACCCAGCACTTGCAAAAGTAACTAAAACTGCTGTCACAGGTCCTGAGAAAAATGCTCACAGCAGTTATGAAAACCTTGAACAGTGATCTCTTTTTCTTCTCTTTCAATTTCCACTGGATAGCAGCACTCAGTTATGTGAAAGATTTTTTTTTATAAGACATTCACTGCTTCATTTCATTAGTTTCAGTCTTGCCACATGAAAGCTTATTGAACATTTCATGGATAAGCTTTAAACTTCAGTCATCTCCAGAACAACGACAATTACAGAGCAGGATTTCCATGGCGACATTTCGGGCCCATGTCACTCAGCAGCACTTCAATACATCCCAGCTCTAAAAACCCACAGTCAGTTTTGATTCCACATTTCTCCCCAGCTTTTGTTGTGCTTCCTGACACTCATGACATTGGTTGTGTGACAGCAGGAGAACACAGACTGGTCCCTGCAATCACTACGTTTCTGCCTGCACAAGGAGTATGTAATACGGTCCTAACAACACAAGCCTACTGTTTCTGATCCTTATAGCCTTATCCTGGGAGGAAGTCAAACAACCAACCCCACAAAACACAGAAACAAAAGACCCATAGCAAGACAGAAAGAGTTGGCTAAGCCTTAGTGCTGTGTCCCACCTTGGTGGACAGGTCAGGATCCCACCCTGTGTATTCTTCTCTCCCACTGGAAATGGTCACTCAGAAAACACAAGACAAACCTCATTAACACTGTCACGCAAATTTGTAATACCCTTCTGTTTTGCAAAGCAGGCTGTAAAATATCTACTACACAGGAGAGCAGTAAGCACCAACCCCATACTCTTTTGACTAGTGCAACAGTCCTGAGCCTGTTCTCTGTGCCGACGCCAAGTGGCAGGGCACGGTCCACATGCAGGCCTCAAACCCCTCCCCTCCTCCAAACAGGGCTCCATCTTCACAATTCCTGGAAGATGTGCTTGGGCCACCGGGCGTTCCCTGACACCACTGAAGTACCACTGGGGGAGAGCAGCCAGCACTGCACCCACACGCCCAGAACTGCACGGCAGCTACTGCACTAGTGAGTCTCACAAGCCAGGGCTGCAGCTCACAGCGCTGAGGGACACGGCAAGTGGAGACAAAGGTCCCTGTCCCCCACGAAGGCTCCTCACAGACACTGCCTGCAAAGGCTTTGGCTTTTACAGCATTCACAGCCTCCCAGAGCAAGACATTTCACTGTCTGTAATTAAATTTGCACAAGGCTTTGTTCCTGCTCAATGTTCTTCTCGCTCCAGGGAGCCTGAGAAACAGGATGGCCAGCAATTAATAACAGAAGCCACCACATACTTCCCCAGCAATTCCTTCGTGCCAGCTTCGACTGGACTCAAAGCACATCACACGGAACCTGTCCCTGCCCGGGTCATACGCGCTCCCTGGAGAAGGTGCCAGCCACGCTGAAGCAAAAAGTTTCTGCACAGAACTGTCTCTTTGATTTTCAGTGCAAGGACTTTGAAAAGTACATAGGAAAAAGCAGTTAATAACTGAACGACTCTTACAAGGTCATCTGCTGTAATTGGTTGTCCTTTCTTGCTGGAAGCTACTACCATTCTGCCCAGTCGCTTCTTCATATCATCCAACCCATCAGTTAGTGCTAGGACTGCCATGATTTCACTGCTCACGGTGATGTCAAACTGAGCCTGCAAGAGATGAATAAAGAACGGGAACTCATCAAGATTCCCTGCAGCAATCCTCACCTCTGCTAAATTCGTGAAACAAGGCCAATCATCACCTTCACAACAGAAAAAGAAAAACCACAGACACACAAATATAAAAGAAACCCAAAGCATTGTTCTTGGAACACATCATTTAACGTGGCCACTTTAAACTGGCTATTCTTCTGCAAAATTAGGTAAAACCTACCCATTCCATTGCTATTACATGTCTCTCCTGGCACATGCATTAGTGATTCATGTAAGAAAACTTAACACCTACTAATTATATATTTGAAGACTGAGCTTACTAACTCATTTGATTATCACCAAACAGTACAGTAAATGACAAAGAAAACCAAACAACCAAAAACCACCCAGACTTTATAGGAAACGAAGGGTAGAATTCATCTAACACAATGCAGACACTTCCATCTTAGGATAGCTAAGCACCCTAAGGGCATTTTAAGTCAATAGCAAAAGGCTTTTCTGAGCACAATTCATTTGAACTATTACTTTGACAGTTACTTAAGGGACAAGGGGAGCCACAGCCCAATTGCCTACTTTAGTCTATTGATTATACAATGAATCTAGACTAGCTCAGATACTGTGTCTAGTTTTTGCCACACACCCCACCCAAAGCACCTGCAGTGAGGATTAGCCATGGGCATACATCACTTCTAGAAAGGGCATCTGTGTACCACTGCTGTGCCAGTCATCCCAGTTTGGGAAGCCAGAATTCAGGAGAGGACAGGGAAGGAGGGAACAGACAGCAAAACTAAATGCTGCGCTGGTAGCAAATTTAACTGCTTGGCTGAAAGGACTTTCTCCTTCCTCTCTAACACAACACTAGTAAAAGATGAAAGTATCTGGAGAGGCAGAAACTTGCTTTAGAAAGACACTTTCTACAGACAAGAAAAGGAGCAGTTACCGTTCGGGAGAAGCCTTTCTCTGTTGGAGACTGCCCAATGGTGATTTTCCTGAGGAACCTGTCGTTTGTGTCCAGCACTGCAAGGAATGCAGAGAGGTGAGGGTCACACCGCAGGCTGGCAGTCACACCCATGCCCTGTGACAAATGCTCAGCTAGGTCACCCACAAACAGAGGATGGCAGCATGAGATTCCATCCCCTGCTAAAGAACAGCACAACTGCAGCCAGGGCCAGACACCCACAGACACAGGCAGAGCCTACATCTCTCTGTGGGCACTAACCACACAGCCAAAGCTTCTCTGGACAGCAGAGCTGCTAGTATTACTCCAAGTGATTTTTCCCCATCATTAGCCAATGTGAATTCAGGAAATTATTGCAGCCAAAAACCCATAAAATTACCATTTTTATAAATTAAGTGATAAACTGGTCAGGTACTACCATTTAGTGAGAATTGTTTCCCATAGCTCCATTAACTCAAATTACCTTGGAAACAAAAACTATCAAATACTGCTTAAATTTGATGTTTCTTACTATCTGCTTGAAACACTCTCAGTGTTTTATAAAGTGTGTCCCACAAGGCACACTACTCCAGCCTCATTACAGGTTATGAAGCAAATTTTGGAGAATACATTGCACAGTGTATTTTAATAGAAAGAAGAAAAAGCAATACTCTTGGAATCTAACTCAGGGGAAAAAAAGTCCATTTTGAATTTCTTTTGCTGGTGAAATATTAAATCTGCCAGGCCAGAGATTATTATTACCTTCAGGCATCCTTAAAAACCTTAAAAAAATCTGGCCTTCCTTGGCTGTCAGTCCCCAACAGAGCAAGTGGGCAGATTAAAACCAAGTTTAGCACCAGACCAAAAGCTCTGCTTGCTCACAGAGCAGTCAGGTAAAACGCCTGTTGGCTACAGTTGCCAAACTCAACACTCTCAGTGACTCACAAATGCAGAAACAAACCTGCACCAATTGGTGAAGTCTTAATCTTTGTGAGTTCAGAACAGACTCAAGCCCCTGCATCAGACCCTTTAGAAAGGGGATCCCAGCTGCAGGCATCTATCCCACCACACTCAGCAAAGGAGAGGCCAGCCCTGCTCTCCTTCCCATTCTCCCAGAAAACAGTTTCTGCTGCACTTGCAAACATCTCTTTTGACACACTTTGTTTCTTAGCAATTCTTTCCTTTAATGTCTCTTGTACCTCTTTGCCATGTTATGGAGCTTGGGTCAATGTCCAATCTCACAAATGAGTTGACTTCTTCCTTTGTCAAAGCCATAGGATCTGTTTTGTTAATGCCCAGTTTCTGTGGGAGGAAAGAACAAACAAAAAAGGTTAAGATGAAAAGAGTCACCTAAATGCACCTTTGACTACAGCAAATAGGGTTTGACAGCAGCAATATACTGAGCGATAAGGAGCTGCCCCTTCTCCTGGACCCCACAGCATCGCCAGGCGATCCAAATCAGCACGTAGGTGGAGGCAGAGCAGTTAGCGAGGGCCAAGGCAGACAGCAGAGCTCATTAGGGCAGGCTGTCACCCAGCTTTGGGCAAGGCACCTACAGAGAGAGCAGCAGAGCTCTGTAGTTCTCATCGTTAGTCTCACGAGCTTACAGCCACTGCTCAGGAGCTTGCCTGGGGTCACTGCCCATGGCCAGGCACAGCTAGAGCCACTCTGTCAGCCTGCTGGGTGAGCAGCACAAAGGAATTGGACAATTCAGTCACAAGGCTGTCAACATCCCAGAAAGCTGATCTTGAACATACTGAGAGGATGGGCAGTTTGCCAAGTTGCTTAATTGAGAGAAGAATTATCTCAAGAAGCCTGATACAAGTGCAAGCTTAGGAATGAGGAAAACGATTCAGTTGATTTATGAACGAGAAAGCTTTTTTTAATTAACTAGACAGTTAAGTTGTATTATTTTCCTGAAGAACAGCAAGGAAGAAGAGTGTCTGTTTTCTTCCTCTTCAAGCATATCATTTAGAAAAAGATATAAACAACAAAAACAATAGATGTCATCTTCCTGGAGTATTAGCATCCTGTTCACATCTTGACATTTAATAGCCAGAAGAGTGGTTAGGGCAGAGTTCCCTCAGCAGTCTGTCAGGAACACCAGCAGTGTGTCACAGCTTCCTGCTCAGCACTGGAAGCAAACCACACATTTTCTAATGGCTGAGACATTATAGCCAATTAATATATCAGTTTTAGCTTCCTACATAGTCTGACTATTGCTCCTGACTTCCAAGTGGGCAACTGATCCAGCATGAGTACTCTGCAAACAGGCTAGTACTCTGACTGACCTCAGCAGGGCCCAGTCTGTCCTAGCTGAAAGGTCCAATCTCAGTGCAAAACTATTCCTCTGTTAATCCCCATTTTTGCAGAAGTCAATGTGAACTAGCATGTGTCCCTAATTTCTGGGGATCAGAGCTGTTGCTGCCCAGGGACTCCCACTCAATGACAGGACTACTCAGCTAACTGGGAGTTCTATTTTGCAGAAAGGAAGAGTGGGCAATACAGGGAACAGGTTTTTTCCCCCCCATTTTAGCTTGCTTTCTCAATCCAGATAAGACATTCTCTTCATGCTGAATTTTATAAATTGCCTTTTCCGTGCTGCATTATCTACATAGCTGTCACATGGGAACCCTTAATCTCTAGCTGTAACTGTGTGTAAGGAACAGAGACTGATGCTGGGGCTTCCTTAAACTCCATTAAAGACACTGAATTGACAGTACTAATGAAGGACACTAATTCCTTTGCCTCTTCCCACTGTGTTACTCATACAGCCTATAGCAAAGAGCTACATCAATGATTCTTTCCCTTGGGGCTGCACCTCACTGCTTTCTGTGCTGTATGAAGGGCTACCACACTCCTGCATGCCTTATGTGAAACACAGACACCAGCAGAATGGCCTAGGGGACCACATGAGGGTTTGTGTAACCCAGCTCTGCTAGGCAAAGGGTGAGTAAATGGAACAGAACCAGAAACCAATGAGAGACCAGTGAGCTTACCTGTAGTCTTCGGATCTGAATGTCTGAGAACTTCCTAACACCACTGACAGAAGGCACCAAGCGGTTGTAGAGAGCCTTGCAGAATGAAACAGATAGTCAATTAGCACTGCTGGCACACCCAAAACTGCTGGGCCAAAGTGGGCTGGGGCAGAGTACGTGGTGAGAAAGGACTGTACCTGGTCAGACTGAGTCAGCTCGTGGAACATCCGTGCGTCGATAGCAGCAGCGACCAGGTTGTTGGCTGCAGTGATAGCGTGGATGTCACCAGTGAGGTGAAGGTTAAACTAGAGGAGATAAAACCTATCAGTTACCTCATCCTGCTGCAATTTTCATTTATTTCAATTCATTGTAGACAGATGGAAAGAGAAGTATTAATAGTAATGGTGAAGTGGGTGAGGGTGGAGGGGGAGAGATTGCTCAGTGCAGTATGTGGAAGAGAGGAAAGAATTTCTCTCAAACAGAAGAATGCCTCCCCCACATTTATGTCATTTTACAAACTTCTAGAACAAAGCTCTCAAATATAAAGTTGTTTGTTTTTCCTTTCCCCTTCCACAGGAACAGCTCTCACAGGCTCCATGGTATGGCACATCTGTGCTGCTCCTCCTTCACCTCCCTTCTGATCCCCTCTCCGTTGCACAGCAGGTTTCATATATACATACATTAGCTGAAGTTGCTCCCATAAAGGATTCTGAGCTAAACTGAAACTAGCAACTTTGTGCAGCACTAGCAGTGGAGCTGTGGTTGCACAGAGCTCTGCATAAGGTAACCACCCAAACACAGTGTCACAGGCAGAACATGTAGACCACGTACTACACAGTGACACTGTTAGTAGCTTTCTTAGTTCTTGCTCGTTAAAAGATAGTTTGAGTGGGTTTGCCTACATGAGTTACTTGGCTGCACTGTAGCTGTGAGGCTGGTGAAGGGTCTAGTTTGACTATTAGGGAAAATTTCTTCACAGAAGGGATTGTCAAGCACTGGCACAGACTGCCTACCAAAGTGGTGGAGTCACCATGCCCAGAGGGACTTAAAAGACATGTGGCTATGGCACTTGGGGACATGGTTAGTGGTGCATTTATCAGTGCTGGGTTAACAGTGGAACGTGGTGATCTTAAAGGCCTTTTCTGACCATAACAATTCTACGATCACGGTAGGTTAGTAAAAGACATGGTTAAAACCATCCCTTCCCTCTGTGGCAGAGCATCAAAGGAAGACGCAAAAGGGACATTGGAAAATGTGATATGACAGAAGACCTTACAATACCATTTTGCTGAAGCCAACTGCAGTCTTAAAACTCATAGAGCTGAACCAGAATGCAGCTAGTCACACACTGATTAAAAATCCTAATTAGTAAATGCTAATTGTTGTCTCATTCTGCATACATGCAACAAGAAGCAATTATTATCACCTTGGTTCTGGAGTATGGACTCAAAAGTTTTTCATTTGCTATTATTTTCCTAGGATGAAAGCCGCATGTAGAATTATGAAATGATATATCAAGGTCATTATTGTAACTAGTGACTCTAGATACTTTAATTTTACGAGACATGCAGTGATTAAAACACCCCCACGAAGCTATGTGTAATTGTACCACGTGGGACATACTTAGAAAAAGCTGTTCCAGCCAGTTGGGTTCCTGGAGAGAGGCTGTTTCCCACTGCTGCACACAGTCAAGGATTTTGCTCCTCTTACTAACACTCCCAAAGAAGAGGAGATTATTTTTCCTGTCACATGTATCCTTCACACATGTTCTTGGTACATGACTAAATCAATATTCTGCCTCAACGTTTTTCTCTTTTATGGACTTGCATCAATTAGAACAATCAGCCCTTTTGATCCTCCTCGCTTTGCTTCCTAAAATTGCCCTGTGTCAATCTGTAGTGCATGAGACAAAAGTGGAACTCTGCAGGCAATGACTCTGGGAGCCGAGAGAAGCACGAAAGCACGTGCTACACGTGCCTTCACCTCCTTGCCACCACACACAGACTCTTACTTGTTGCCAAGTCACATAAGAAATATGCTCCAGTGCCAGTCCCCCACAGGCTGAGGTCTTGGCACTGCTGGTTCCCAGCTCCCTCTTCCCATTTCATGTTAGTAATCTAAAACACAAGGACACGCAGCTCACAAAGAGTTGGTGGCCACCACAGCTGACAGAACTACTCAATATGCTTCCAAAACATTAAGCCATTATCATCTTCATTTCAGTGCTGGGAAAAGGAGGCAAAGGGTGCACTTTGCTCAAGGGTATACAGCAATTCG